CATTGTATGTGCTATAAAGATCCTTTTTTGTTTGCATGATTTTGTTTATATGAAGGCTTTTGGAGATCAGAATTATGCTATGCTGGTATGGATCTGTGAAATATATACTTTTTAATTATAACTAATGATCTGAAAATATATTCCATAAAATAGATACTGGGCACAAAGAATGCAACAATATTCCTACATTTTGAAGATTGCATCCTGTCAATGCATTTTGCACATCTTGCTAATGTTGGCGTTTGCTGATCACTATACTTAATTCTAAAATGCATTATTGTGTAAATACAATTTTATTCATGGAAATTCAGACACATGAAACTTCCCCACAGTCATTCCATAGAGTGTGTAGTGTCCCTAGTATACCTAGTTTCCCTAATCTTTTCAGTGGTGGTCATATTTTTCCCTATAGCACAGCACAACTATCCACTTCCCTGTATTTCTAAAAAGTATTTTACTAGTGTTTGCTTTTGTTTGTTCCCCAGCCATGAGTGTCTTTCAGTCCATGGCCTGAATCAATGCATTTAATTGTTTGGGATAAACTTTTTGCTTCTGGATTATATTCTTGATTTGTCATTCTTCCCTCCTGCAGAAGCATGCTGGGAAGATCCTAATGCTACCATCATACTCACTGAAAAAATTAAATTTAAGATTTAGAGATAGGTGGATCAAAGACAAGAGATTGTACCAAGAAAACAGAACATTTGAAATTGAATGGACTCATAAAATTAATGAGTTTCTTCTGAAAATAGACACAAACAAGAATTCAGATTTTGGCTGACAGGCATCGCTGTGCTCATAGATCAGATAAATTTGCCTTGTTTACTGCCGGTTGTTTAACTGCACAAAACTTTAAAGTGGTGAGAAGGCTCATAGAAGCTATTATAGAAGGGGCAGCTGTTGTGTTAGTCACCGAGACATTCCATACTACTAGAAATCATTCAGTCTCTTGGTTATATTGCATTTTGATTAATGTATTTTTATAAACATCTTTTAAAAGCTGAGTACTCACAATAAAAATATTTTAACTGGTAAGTTATAAATAATTTAGATTAGTTTTCATAATATTACATAACTATAGAATAACTTCAGCAGAATCAGGGGAAAAAAGTGAAGATACCAAATTTACCAGTTCTCTAAAACAAATTGGCAGACTAAATACATAGGAAATCAGAGCAAGGATCAGTGAAGATTCTTATTATCTCAGCATATCTTATGTACAAAACTGCAAAGTCAATCACTTGGAATTATATTCCAGTGTCTTAAGGACAAGCGTGAAGAAGGATATGTCATGATTTCTTAAAATTACTTTTTAAAAAAATTAGACCTGGCTTTCATGTTTCTGTATTGGTAGTTTAATGTATTTCTTGGGAAGGACTTTTTGTCCAGTTTTATGAATATAGAGGAATTATTCAGAATCAGAAAGATTAGTTTCTAATTTTTAATCTTAGAACTGGAAAATTCTTTGTTGTTTACAGTTTTCTTAGAATTCATATACATGTGAAATCATTGCAACTCATTTTAAAACTTGTGAAATATTTTTCCACAGGAATTTCAGCCTCTGACGTAATTAGTTCTAAGGTATCTGGAGCTGCAGAATTAAATAAATTATTGTAGTATTTCCTTCATTGAGTCCTTAATAGTCCAATTTAACTAATAACGTTATTTACTGCTTCAGTAGTTGATCATTGTAAGCAAAAGAGCAACATGATGAACGTCTTTGTTTGAGAGAGTAAGCTGATTTGAAGCACAATATTGATCGGGATGTGGTCATTATCAACCATAATCTGTTTGGAGGGGAAGAAAAAAATTCAGCTGCCTTCCTTACTGAGTTCTGCTTCCAGTTTTCAAAAAATGACATGTACCTATATAAACACCAGAAGTTATGTTAAAAGTGACTAAATTGCAAATTTTTAGGAATGGATATTTATGGTCACGTCGATAAACCTAAATTGGAGAATGTTTAAATATGGAAATCATTGCACAAAGCTGTTAGTTATCATCACAATGCATGTTTGGTATGTGTAGGTATGTGTGCTTTACCTTCCTTTGATTCTTTATTTGTCAATATGACAAAAATATTGTAGTATTCTAGTATTACATACCTCCTAACTTTTGATAACGCTGATTTTCCCATGCTTCGTGCTTTCCCATGAAGCAATCGTGTTTAATTAAATTATATTGACAAGATCAGTGGAAATTATTCAGTAAGCATGTTTTTAATCTAGGATTTAAAGAAAAAAGCACCACAAAGATAACTATTAAGATTTTAGATTAAGATTCATGGGGAATTATATCAAGGACAAAAACGTCCTTGTATTTAGTTCTCTGTGTAGAAACTGATTTAAACATAAGCAAAGGATAATAGGCGCTGAAGAGACCATTCATTTTGGCAGTGTTTTGAGCAAAGCAGACAGTATCCAGAAAGAGTTCAAAGAGCTTTTTGTAGGTTGAAATGAAAGCTTAATTAAAAAAAAACCTCAAAAAACTCAGCTCAGTAATCCTGTTTTTACTTATTTATTTAGCACAGCTGTAGTTAAAAGGAGTTTCTGTAAAATATTTATCAACTCCAAAACATTTTCGATGCTAAGGTATTCCTGAGTAGAGTTGCTTTTTTTTTTTGTATCGTTCTTGTAAGTTGATGGTCAGGTGTGGGGCTTTAGGATATAGGGAGCTCTTCCACAGTGCTTACATGTTTTCTTTGTATAGATTTTGAATGGCTATAAAGATCTTAATCTCTGCTATTGATAATGTTTTCAGCTTAAGTTTTGCCTTTATAACTGTTTTGGTTTTAAGGCATTCCCTGTATAGAAAGTACTATTGAATTTGAAGTCCAAAGTAATCTCTTCCTTAGTTGGAGTGACGATCATTTTACTTCCAAGAAAGTGCTGAACATACTTTTTGCTCGATCAAAATCTCTTTGTCTGAATGCTCTTCAGACTTATTGTCAGTCATACTGATTTTTACTAGTCCTTAACTTTTTTTATCCCAGCCTCATCACCTATGCTTTTGACATATTGCTAGCAAAAGATGTCTCTCCTCACTTCCAGGCTTACAAGAGTAGCCTTTGTTCCTATTGGTCTTAGGTCGAAATCTGATCTTCAGGCAACTTAAAGAAGCCTCATGTCATTCCTGTCTTTGGGAAGGGCGAGAAGAAAGCTCTGAGGAACTACAGGCTAGTTGGCCTCAGCTCAATCCCTCAGGAGGTGATGGAGGAAATCCTCCTGTAAAAGATGTCCAAAGTCATTAAGGACAAGAAGGTGATCATGAGTAGTCAGCATGGATTTACAAAGGGGAACTCATGGTTGACCAACCTGGTAGCCTTCTGCAGTGAGGTGACGAGCTTGCTGGACAAGTGGAAAGCAGTGGACATTATTTACCTCAGCTTTAGTAAAGCCTTTGACACTTATCTCCCATAGCATCATGAACAAGCTGACAAAGTGTGGGTAAGATAAGTAGGAAGCGAGATGGATTCCAAACTAGCTAGGTCCAGAGGGTTGGGAATCGGTGTCACAAAGTCCAGTTGGAAGCAGCTCACTAGAGGTGTACCCCAGTGGTCAAGACTGTGCACAATACTGTTTAAGGTCTTCATTAATGACCTGGATGATGGGATGGAGCGCACCCGCAGGAAGTTTGCAGATGGTATGAGCCTGGGAGGAATGGCTGGTATACCAGGTGGCTGGGCTGGAGAATTCTCGTGAAGTTCAACAAGGGGAAAGGCAGAGTAGGAAGGACCTGCGTCTGGAGGAATAACCCCATGCACTAACCCACACTGAGGACCAACTGGTTGTAAAGCAGCTTGGCAGAGAAGGACCTTGGGGTCCTGGTGGACTAGAAGCTGAACTTGAGCCAGCAATGCACCCTTGTGGCAAAAAAGGCCAACAGCATCCTGGACTATGTTATGAACAGTGTTGCCAGCAGGTCAAGGGAGGTGATCCTTCCTCTCTGCACTACTGAGGCCGCATCTGGAGTACTGTGTCCAGTTCCCCAGTACAAGAGAGACATGAGCATAGTGGAGCGAGTCCAGTGCAGGACCGCAAAGATGATTAAGGGACTGGAGCATCTCTCATATGAGGAGAGACTGAGACAGTGAGGACTGTTCAGCCTAGAGAAGAGAAGGCTCAGGGGCATCTCACCAATGTGTATGAATAAAGGATGGGAGGGAATGAAGATGAGGGAGCAGTACTTTTCCCAGCAGTGCCCACTGTCAGGACAAAAGACTGGCACAAATTAAGACACAGATGAAATTCCACCTGAATACAAGAAAATTTTTTACTGTGAAGGTGATCAAACACTGGAATAGGTTGCCTGGAGAGGTTTTGGAGTCTCCATTTTTGGAGATACTCTAAAACCCAACTGGACCTGGCCCTGGGCAATGTGCTCTAGGTGACTCTGCTTGACCAAAAAAACTGAGTAGGTCCCTTCCAACATAAATGATTCTTTGATTTCCCAAGTCTTAAATCTAGGCTAAGGCATTCTATGTAATGACTGCGCTTATAAAGTAGCTTTGACCAAGCTTAGCTCTTGTGATTATTTTTTGTTTGTTTGTTTTAGAATCTGCAGGTAGTGATGTTGATTTTGTTACAGAATGTATCTTTGCAATACCAGTAATAAACATTTTAGGATGCAGGCTTTTTATTGTTTAAAGTCAACATGTGTATCTGTCTTACTTAAAAGTTCTTCAAAAGATGAAGTCTTAACTTCTTCACATATTCCAGTGAATGCTGCTGTTTCAGCCTACCTCTTCCATACAATGCTCACAACAGCAGAACTGACCACAGACCCAGGAGCTGCTCTGATGGTGTCCATAAGCCCAGGAAGCTTTCCTAGGCAGCTGCTGCATAGCACAGACAGAAGAGATGCACGAGAGAAGGAAATTAATGCTCGTTTGATCTAATTGATTCAGTATATCAGTGTTACTCTAGTTTAATTGATGCAGTTTCTTTTATGACCATATGTTACGTGTAGTACTAACATTTGTATTTCTTTTTGATTTGCAGGATGGAGGTCTGCTTCTAAATAATCCTTCTGCTCTGGCAGTTCATGAGTGCAAGTGTCTTTGGCCAAACGTTCCATTGCAGTGTCTCATATCGCTGGGCACTGGTCGATACGAAAGTGAGGGGAAGACGAACCTCACGTACACCAGTTTGAAAGCCAAACTCACGAATGTTATCAGCAGTGCAACTGACACAGAAGGTTGGTGTCTTAAGACACATTTGTATTGCAACCGTTTTCAGGTTTTTATGTTTCTTAGAATTACAGTTTCAATCCAGAGAGCAATCTGCAACCTTCTGTCTTTCCCCTTCTCCTCTCTATCCGCCCCATTGAAACTACTTGAACATGTCTCTCTGTAACTCATTTTGTATAGCTGGTAGTTTAGTACCAGTATTAGAGGTTTTCTGGAGATGATAATGTAAACGTGTTTCTTACCCTTAACTCCATGTTCTTCATCTTCACTAAGTTGTTGCTGAGCTCTTTTAGTTTGACTTCTCAAGTGTTACTATTGACATAGGTATACTAGAGATAAAAGATACCTTAAAAATTCAAATGGCACTGATAATCCAACAGGATTTAGATAAAGCAGTATGTTTTTACTTGTGCTTCAGAATAAAGGCATATTCAGGAATCCATTTCAATAGAGAAATCATATTTTCTTATATTTTTTCCATAAACAGAAATGCTTAATAGTTAATATAGAACATCAGTTTTTAACAGCTTCAGAAAAAGTATTTTAGTTCAGTTCTTTTCTACATGTTTTTAACGTGTGCTTTTCCAAGGACTAGACTGTATCTGCCAGTGACTTCCATTGCTGTCAGGAGGAGCCAAGCATGTATTCCCATCCTAGGAACAGAGTTTATTTTGGAAAACATTGGAACTCTATCACTAGCAGATTACACCCATTTTGTTTTTATAAACTGGGAAAATACTGATATGCAGATGCTTTTTTTCCTCTTACAAAGGGAACCAATACTGTAAAAAGCTAGGGATCAACAAATACTTAACAGTCTTGATCCCTTGCTGCATCGTTTCTGTCAGCTATCATTAGTAAGAAGCAGCTACCTTTTTTGCACAATTGTGAAAAGGCAGTAGGAATTCTGGGAAGGAGAGGCATGCTGTCCACATGTCAAGGGAAGAAAAAGTTTCATTGCAGCAGAAAAATCAGGCAAGAATTTGATTGGGGAAAAGGAGGAAAGGAAAGTTTATTGTGGAGACCAAAGGAGAGGGAAATGGAAAGAGGGGAGAGCAGATTTGAGCAAATGAGAAGTTATATTATGAAGGAAAAAATGGAGAGTTTTAAATAGGGCAAGATAGGATGTGGTGAAACAGGAACAGAGACACAGCTTGAGGGATCAAGCAGAGAAGATTTCAGATTAACAGGAATATTTTGCTGTAGTCTTACCTATGATGGTTTTTTCACTTTAAAAATTTTATATAACAGTAAAAGAATGGGAAAGCACGGTAAGAATGCAAAGAAGATGGAAATAAAAGAGAATGAAAGATAAAAGAAGTAATGGAATTTAAAATATGTAAAAGGAGAGAGAGAATAGGTTATAAAAGAGAGGAAAAAGGAAGAGAGGAACATAAAAATATGTTACATAGCCAGTTTGTTATTGTACTAGTTAAATGAACTGTTACAATTTAACAGGAACATTTTAAATTAAATGAAGGTTAAATTCCAACCACATATATATAGTAATATATATAAAAATAATTAGTTGCAGACAGAAGAATAAAAGATGAACCTTTTCCAGAGTAAACAGAGCTACAGGATCATAGAATCATAGAATGATTTGGGTTGGAAGGGACCTCAAAGATCATCTAGTTCCAACCCCCTTCTAATGAGAAAGGAGTTTTGATAAGGCAGGTGTGGAAAAATGTTTACTCAGCAAAGCAGCACATACTTACACTTAACTGCCTCACTCCAGAGACTAGCTAAGAGACTGGAGGACAATTTGTCTGTCTGGTGTAAATGTAACTGTTTCCTTCATTTGTTTTCAATACAGAAGTTCACACCATGCTGGATGCACTGTTACCTCCGGATACTTATTTCAGATTTAACCCTCTTATGAATGAAGACATACCTCTGGATGAAAGCCGTAAAGAGAAACTCAATCAGCTGCAGACAGATGGGATTCGGTATTTAGAACGAAACGAAGAAAAACTGAGAAAAGCCGCAAAAATATTAACACAAGAAAAAACAACTTTGCAGAGACTTCAGGACTGGATAAGATTAAAGGCTGACATGTATGAAGGCCTTCCATTTTTTTCTAAGTTGTGAATATGTAATGCATGAAAGATCATAAATGTAAATCTTGTACCAGAAAATCCATTCAGTACTGTAAAGGAAGAGTGTTTATGAGGGGTAAAATGGCGTCTTTGGAAAGCTACCGGAATTCTGGAGGAAGCAATTCAGGATGGCTGTTTTGTGCACACTTACGTGATAAAAGGTTTTATCGTGTTAATTATTTTTTGAACCTCACAGATCTTACTGTTGCTCTACTTTGTTAAAGTTGGTAAAATTGAAAATTATGAAAACAATTGTGCTATGCATTTTTGGATGTATGTGCCATAATTATGGTGACAGTAAAACTTTATTTATCAACTACCAGGCTTATTCAAAATTAACAGAAAATAAATCCTCATTCACTTTAGTGTCGACAGTGGAACTGTTAGGCTCTTATATAGCCAATGAATTTAATAGAAATGTAATGTTCTTACAAAAACTTTGCCTGTGTTAATTGCACTTTTACATTTGAAAGATAACATTTAAATTCTTTTTTTATTTTCAGTGGATTTTGTACATAACAGTATTGAGAAAGATGTTTGGATGACTACAGATGGTATATTAAATTATCAAAATTAATGGATATTTTTAGGACTTGCTGCTTATTGTTTTTCTCAGGATAACTGCAGATTGGTTCATTTGTTATTTGAAAATAATCCCAAGTCCCAAAACTTTGCTTGAGCAACTATTCCTGTCACAGGATAAAGAAAATAAAATCTTGAAATAGTTCACTTGTTAAGTGAATTAGAAGCTTACTAGAGAAGCCTTGGTTTTGGATGCCAAACTTCAGCTGTCTCTAGTCAAGAAAAAATTAACAGTCGATACATGAAATAATAAATTACGCATTTTCTTTTGTCTTTTACCTTTCATATATAGAGATTACTAAGCTCTTACTATTCATTCCTTAGCAGCTTTTTGCTTGTGACAAGAAGGGTGGTGTAGTAAGCTACGATGATACAGTACCTCAGTGAAACAACATCTTTAACAACAGAAAGACACACATGAGTTCTTGGAAACAGTATGGCTGCAGTGACACGTGCGTTAGACACAGCTGCTGTCACAGGCTGGGCATGTACCCATGGATAAGATTGCTTGACAGGTTGCTTGGTGGTTTTGCCTCTCATAGACAGCTACAGTACATGAAAATAATTACTAGATAAAATGTGTGTTTTATGCAGTAGGCAAAATGCCCAGTTTCACCAAAAACCAGTGCATTCATCACTTTGCCTTTCAAGACTGATTACCTGCCATTGTATTATCTACTAAAAGTAACATTTAGTTTGATGGTCACCTTCTGTACTTGTCTTAAATCATTGAAAATGTCACTAGGCTGCCTTTAGAAAAGGAACTTTAAGGAATACAGCAGACATCCTTTGTTGTCTTAGTTGCTACTAGTATTCTGTGACTGTGCGAGAAAACATTTGATTTGGGCTGTTCTTTTTTTGATCTGACGTATTTTTAATTTTTACCCGTGCCATTTTACTCACGTATCCATACTTTTCTGGTGCTCCCTCAGTTCTCTGGCTTGTTTTTGCCGATGAATCTAGTAAGTGTCATTGGTGCATAAGCTGTAGCCTTCACATTTTTTAAATTGTTCCCAATGCAAACAAATTCTAGGTGTGTAAGGCCTAAAGAAGCCTTTGTTATTCAGTGCATGAGGAAGCGAAAACAGGAGAAATGGAGAGAAAGGCTATAAAGCTACAGCAATTTAAAGATAAAAAGTGAAAGAATGTATAAACACAAGTAGTTCCTTGAACAGGGCAATAAAATTGCGAAAACAGAGTTTTACGATTTTCCAATTACTAAGAACTGAGTAAAAGAATAACAAGAAATCAAGACTTTCCCATTGGTGTGAGACAGTTTAAGCCTATTAAAAAAAAAAAAGTCAACATTGTTCTGATCAAGGCACCTTGTACAGAGTTGAGTTGAGTTGCCATCATCCTAAATCAAAATAGACAACACAGGATTGTCTCGTGTAACACCATCCATGATGTGCTTCTTCCCCTGGCTAAGAACAAAGTCACGGTATCACCCATAAGGCTATGAAAGGTGTTATTCTGAATTCATAAGCTTCCAGTCTTATCTTTTTGGGATAAGCATTTATTTAAGAAAACACCTGAAGTCCACAAAGTGGTAACATTTCTATTTGATTTTTATTCAAATAAAACCTGTGAGTGACTAATGTTCAGACAGTGGGCTAAGTGCATACACTGAGCCAGGCTTTGCAGGTGGAGTGTCGTTCTGTTTGCCATAATGCAGTGATTTTCCTTCACTGAGAAGTTCCCCAAGTACTCTCTACTCTTTTCACAGGTAAATTCAATGTTATACTAGAAATTGATTAGAGAATGTAAACCAGGAATGGTTTACCTGTCTTTTGAATGAGTACAGATTATCTCAAATTAGCTTTATTTAAATATCAGGTTATTTCTAGTTCTTTATGAGCTGCCTACAAAGCTTCCACTACAGCTCTGTTGAAAAAACAGTCGTTTTGTGTAGAACCTTGGCTTTCCTCATCCGCCTTCTAGAAGACTATGTTAAATATACTCTAGGCTGATGAATGCGGCTATTTGGCTGACTGTTGAGATCCCGTATTTAAGAAATTACAATATACTTGCTAAGACATCCGTGTTGTCTCCATGGTATTTGACATGGCCTTTCGAAGTGGGTTTACATAAATACATCTCATCAACTCACAGGAGTGTGAAGGCAAGTGCCGTTTTGCCTTCAGAAGGGCACTTACAAAATGGTACTTGCAGCTGGTTGCTTGCTCTCTGCAAAATCCCAGTGTGAGTAGCTTCTGCCCACAAACTAGGACATAAGAAGTGCATGGGCTTCATGTTAGACCTCTGTAAAGCTTAAAATTAATCTTTGGTTTGTATTAAAGAAACTCTAGTGCTGAGTTGCATAAATATTAATATTTGAGATAGAGCACGTGCATGTAAAGATACGTGACAGCAACAACGCTGGGTAAATCTCATGAAACAGTGGCTCAATCTTGTGAACAGAGAGGATAAAAAAAAATCATAACTCTTAAACCGATGAGGTCAAGGCTACATATAATGAGCAAAAAGAAAAAATTATATTTAAATCAAGTTCATTCTATGAAAAGATTTTGATTCAGCTTAAATGTATTGGTAATTTTTTTACATATTGCTGTCTTTAGGAGAGGAAAAGAGGAGTTTATTTCAGCTAGGGCGAGATCTGGATTTGTAATTACACTGGTTTTCCTGGAAGCTACTCCTTTACCTTCATTCACCGTTTTTCCTCTTTATTGCTGTAACAATCTTTTTTCTTAGGAGTGGCTTTTAAAAGTACGCATGGAATTGAGCTGAGCTATGGAGTAATTAATTCAGACTGGTTTAGGGCGCTGTGTGTATAAATTCACAAGATGCGTGTATTGAATCCTTTCAAACGAAACTGTTTGATCCTCCGTGTTGCAAGTGCTGCACTGTCTATCAGGCACTAATTAGGAGTTTGCTCTCCCCTCTAAACCACTTTAAAATGTGCAGGTGCAACAGTTCTACCACTCTAGCTGCCATTAGTTTTTAGTTAGTTCAAAAACAATACTAGCAGTTTGCAAGGAATCCTGACTATTGTGGATGTGTTCCTACAGCACTGTATATAAAGTAAAACTATTTTCAGGAAGTTTATTGAGGCATTAGAGGTGGAATCCCACATGACACTTTAATAGAAGAAAATGGAATAAGAAGAACTGTAGAGGAATCAGGACTGGCTAAATAAGGAAAAAGAATTTTAAGGGAGTTTATTGATAAGCAGAGGGATTAGTGCTGGGTCAAATACTAGCATACTTTAATCATTTGGATGGCTTGAAGAACATAATTCACAGGTGAATCTAGGAGGGATCGTGAATATTTTGAACAACAGGACTTCAGTGCAGCATGGGTTTGAGAAGAAAATAGGCAAGAATGAAAAAAGTGCATCTGAAGAATAAAAATGTAAAATTAACAATGGGAGAAGGAATACTCTAATGCAGAACATCACATTAAAGGAATCCTGCTTTGAAGAAGTACCCTTGGGAATGCTGTGCAGTTATCCACTTAACAACCTGAAATTGAGTCAGCTACAAAAATAACTGTGTGTCAATGCACTAGAGAATTCCTTGGCCAGGAATACATGAGCAAACCAGAAAAAATGAGAAATCAATGTGAATTTTGAATCTAGAGTATGAAATCCCAAGAAGATAGTAATGCTTATGCATTCCAAGTTACTCGTAAATTCAGAGAACACAACAAGGTTTGTCTGCCTGGATGAGCATTCCCACTTGAAAAGGTACCAAGTTTGCATCCTGGAAAGAAAATCACGAAGTTCATGCTTTAGTTTAGAAAGTGGTAACGTCGAATCCTTGCAAAGTTGACATAATGTTCTTGGCCTGATTTTAAAAGGTGAAAAGAAAGAGTCCAGACCAGGAAATGAAAAGGTACAGACATAAAATAATCTCCCTTTATGCAAAGTCATCTCTTAGTTTCTAATTATCTACGCAGAAGGAGATCTTAATTGAAGGAGGTTTCGTTACCAAAGGAAAGAAAATAAAACATTTCAATGTTGAAGTGTGATCACTGATTTTAGGATATTTCCTGTCAGTGTGCATTCCAGCACTGATACGAAGATCCTGATTCTACTGCACAAGGCGCAGGCAGCAGCAGTTGAATATAATTATAGTTTTGGTCACTGCTATTAGAGAAAGAGATATTCAGACTAAAACAGATGCAAAGAAGGGCTGCCAAAGGGAAGATTAAGAGAGCATGGTCTGTTTCCTCTAACAAAACAAGGGCTGGAAGGAGGGTACACGCTGCTGTTTAAAAATACTTCAAGAAGGAAAAGATAGCAAGCTGAAGGACTACACTTGCATAAAACCAAAGGTGCTCAAACTGGCCAGAAATAAATTTAGCCAGAAAGTAAAAAGGTGCTAAAGCCCCAGGAGCAAGACCACAGAACAGCTATACAGAGAACCAACAGAGCAAAAGACACTGTTTCAGTATAAGTTTTAGAAACTGAGCTCATGAATGGAGTTCTGTAACGCACTATGAGAATGGCTACCTGTCTCCATAGCCAGCTGAATCCCTTCTAATCTATGCAGCAGAACTTGTTAACCCCTTAAATATAAGAGAATCCACAGGCTTATGGAAGCTTCTAACAGCTCCTTCTCATTAGGCCTAATAGATAAGGGTTATGTCTTGTTTTTGTTCCATCACATGCAGAGCATTTCATTTATTTTGCTTTCCCTGCCTAGCTGGTAAAGGGAGCTGATAGAGGCTGAAGTAATACAAGACACATGACAGGTGAAGGAAAGATCCGGTGTG